TCCTCACAGATATCTGAGCTCATCATTGCTCACAGACACACTTCAGACGTCCTCCATCTCACAAAGGGAGGAGCTGAATCTCTGATTAGTGTTCCAGGATGAGCTTCATCTCAGCTCACACACCCTCAGAAGCAAAGGAGCTTTATCTCTTTAATTAACAACAGAGCTTTCATTTCTTTATTCTACTTTTTGCTTTAATATCGATTACTTCTACTTAAAGATCACAGCTGGGATGTCAAAATTAGACAAAATGTGACTAAATTTGAAAAATTTAACATAAAAATTACCCCAGAGGTGGAAAAAAACAACCTAATAGATGCATAATAATGATAATGATAATATAATGAGACAAAAAGTACCAAAATCCAAGCAGATGTTCTAAAGGGAGGACTCCTTAACATGTAAATGTGTGGAAAGAGACATTCAATCAGCAGAAAAATAAATAATCCATTCACTGTGAAAATGAATAAACAAATCGCTAAAATGAGAGACAGAAACTACCAAAACGTGTCCAGGTTAATGTGTGGAAAACTGGTTTGAAACACAGGAGAAAAGGACGTATATGATACACAAAAAGGGTTCAAATTAGTTTATAACACACAGAAAAAACAACCCCAGTGAAACCAAACGAGCCAGAAAAGGGAACAAAGTGTTTCACAGACGTAAATATATGAAAAGGAGAAATTAATCCAGCACAAAAGCAGAATAAAAAGAAGTACAAATGACCTGAAAGGGGGAAAAATGACCAAATAGATAAAAAATAGAAACAGAAAGTGAACAAAAAGACAACAAAGTGAGACAATTACTCAAACTGACTTGAAAATGCTACATTTGACCGGCGACTATCATCACAGTTTCTGTAAAGAACTGAAGCTGATGTTCACCGTGTGTGTGTGTGTGTGTGTGTGTGTGTGTGTGTGTGTGTGTGTGTGTGTGTGTTTGTGGGGACTCACAGCTCCTCCAGGAAGTGCAGGTTAGACAGAGCTCCGCTGGACACCGCAGTCAGATTATTCATGCTCAGATCCCTGTAAAGAACCCAGACAGCCCAGATGTTAAGGACACATCTGGATTCCAATCAGCAGAAATAACATGAAAAACACATCTGATTTTAAAATAAAAAAACAACCTTTTCAGGGTAAAATAATGAGCTGTTGTTGCAAAAAGCTGTTTTTTGTCTCTTGACCCAAACTGAGCGTGAACCTTGTCCTCAAACCAAACTTTGTCTTGAACCCTTCCTTGCGTTTCCTCTTTTCAGGGTGAGTTTATTTTGTTCTTTGTTCATAGTTTTTTTCTGCCTCGTTACACTGATTATTATTTGATACTATGTTCATGTCCCGCCTGGGGGATTCTCTGGTGTTTTTGTCCCGTCTCCATGGTTCTCTTGTCATTTCCTGTTTTATTTTGAAAGGTAAATCCCCTTGTTTCAGGCCTCTTGCACTCCCCTGTGTGTCTGATTGTGTTCCCCTGGGGTTCCCTTCCCTTGTCTCTCCTTGTCTGGAGCCAGTGGGTTTAATCTCTTGACTCACTGCGTTAACCTTGTCCTCGAACCAAACCAAAGCCTTGAACCTTTCCTTGTTATTCCTCGTGCAAGTGAATTTATTTTGTACTTTGTAACTTTTGTCAACCTCTTTTCAGAATGAGTTTATTTTGTACTTTGTAACTTTTCTCATCCTCTTTTCAGGGTGATTTTATTTTGTGTTTGTCCACATTTTAGTTCTGCCTCGTTAGAGTGATTATTACTTTGCCTTTCCTCTCCCTTTTGTTTAATTGTTCTTTTGTTTAATCAATCTTTTTGCCAGAGATCTCTGCATGAGTCCGGCTTTGAGCTCCCTTTCTCTCCGGGCGGAGGCATCAGCCGGGCTGGTTGGTTGGTTGGTTGTGTTTGTGTGACGCTCTTCCTGCCTCTTTTCTCCCCTTATCTCTCCGTCTACTCCTGCCCCGCGTGGCGATAGCATCGGCAGGTCGTCTTTCTCCGGCCGGGACTCCTGAAAGGAGCCGGAGACAGACTGTGCATGAGTCCGGCTTTGAGCTCCCTTTCTCTCCGGGCGGAGGCATC